ACCTTGCACAATTCTAAGAAACTAGAGCAAACCAGTATCCCTTGGAATGTCATAATTGTGGATGTACGTACAAGCCATTAAAAAACAGGACCACTGTTTCTTTCAAAAGCAACTTTATATTTTAGATATCGCGGAAATAAACGACTGAAACCATTGCTAAATAAAATACGCACCCGCATAGGACCGCCTCCGTCGTCCAAATTCAGAAAAGCAAAAGCCATTCCTTTAAAATCAAACCCCAACTTCTTCGTCCATATTTCCATAGCACCATTCTGTAAAAATATTCTTCTACATAAGTTAAACATGTCTAAATTTGTGAGATTTTATGAAAATGAATCTATATATTGAAATCTTAATTTACAAAACTTGGCATGTCGTTGAATTATCTCGAATACAAGTGAGATTTCTTTCATTTCTTTATCTAGATGGTTATTCGGTTAACATACTATAAGAAATTCAAATTAATCTACATTTTTCAGTGGTGAATAGCGTACAACAAATTACTACCAGGAATAAATAAACCCAACAGATTTATCTCCCATTATAGCGAACATAAGTCAATGTAAAGATGTTTGATTATTGTTGTAAACCGTATTCTTGTTACTTTTACTACATGATTTTCATCGAATTCAGAATAAAGTGATCTTGTTCAAGCTGCTATTGTCTTTAGATTATTACTCGCCTTCACTGTGGCATCCTTTTTATTGGTTAACTAATTGTTCTTATGACACTATTTTCAATGTTTCCCTTCAGCGCTTTGTTTGATTGTTTTTTTCAATTTCAGGTGACCTTTATAAAAAGTTTTACGTGATAAACAATATGATAATCATGCTTTTGTCTCGGACGACATTCTCAAGTTACTGCAGACACTATTTTGTTTTACATACAGAGTCTTTTGTTTCGTTCGAAATTTTAATATGTTTCCAAAGACGATAGTTTGTTTCTTTCCGAAGACTTTTGTTTCTATAGATATATGTTTCGCATCATCATACATACTTTCATAATTCTCTTCCCCATGCTACCATTTGCGTCTTGGTTAATTCTGATTAGAATATCACTCTGTAACAAAGCTTTAGCTTCAGGTTTTACGTTCCTCAGATCTACCGAAATTAGTAATGGCGCTGATATGATCGCCCACATGGCCATCTGTACCCGTTGTTGATCGTAACTTAGTCCATAGTCGCCAACAATTATCTAAAATATGTTTATATCATATTAAGTATTGTTGAAATATCAGATACATGTTTGTTGTCTAAATTAATACAAGCATTTTCTATCGTATCATATTATCAATGCATTTTCATTTAGAAAGTATTTCTATTGAATCCATTTGGCTTGAACTTAAACAGCCTAAATGTAAATCATTATTATTGTGTTATGCATTCAGACCACCATCTTCTAAAGTTGAGTGGCTTAATAATTTTGCTATATCCTTAGAAAAATCATATTTAGAGGAAAAAGAATGTATTGTTATTGGAGATTTTAACTATGATATTTTGAAGCATGATAATTGTTCTAAATCTTGGTTAGATCTAATGCAGTCTGTAAATTTAGATCTCAGCTTGTTGAATCTCCTACCAGAGTAACTTCAAGCTCTGCTACATTGATAGATCATGCATTTTCAAACATGCCTCAAAATATAGTCGATGTTTTTGTACCTTCCTTATCCATTAGTGACCATTTTCCAATTTGTCTTACACGCAAACTTTCAAATATCAGTGTTAAAGGTCCCATGCATAAGACAATAACCTTCCGGTCTCTTAAACACTTTGATAAAAATCGATATTTAACCGAATTGTCAGAGCAACCCTGGTCAGAAGTAGCATCTGTAGAAAATCAAGATAACTCTATAGATTTGTTCACTGATCAATTTTTGTCTGTCCTTGAAAAACATGCACCAACCAGAAAAAAACGAGTAAAGAAGGTCACCCAACCAAACTGGATTAATAAAAACATCCTCGATGCTATTAAAACAAAACACCAGTTTCATAGGGTTAATGACACATATAATTACAACATATGGAAACAACACGTTAAGTCTCTCATATATGATTCTAAGCGACAATATTATAATGATACCATCAATAAAAACAAACAAAACCCAAAGAAATTATGGACTGGTCTAAATGAATTATCTGGTTACAAATCCAAGGTTCAAACACATTTTATTGATGATGATGATGGCAACCCGGTTTCTGACCCTTTAATCACTGCAAATTTATTCAACAGACAATTTGTGAATCTCCACCAATCCCATCATACCATTAATCAGACTGGTTATGAAAATCCTGAGCTTGTTGAACTAAATGCATCTAAACTTCAGCATATACCCCCTTTCAAAATACCTAAAATAGAGCTCTCTTATGTGTTGAACCAATTAAAATCGATTGATATTACAAAGTCGCGTGGGTCAGATGGTCTCAGTGCAAGGTTTCTAAAGTTATCGGTCCACATTCATGCTCTCATACTTACCCTTATATTCAATTATAGCATACTAAACAATACAATTCCTAAATAGTTCAAAAATGCCTAAGTCATTCCATTACATAAAAAGGGATCTAAAAGTTATAAAAGAAATTATAGGCCAATTTCCATACTTCCCTTGATATCACTTATTCTTGAGAACGCCATGTCAGTTCACATTTAAAGCAATACTTTGCTATACCAACGTCAGTCTGGAGTTGAGTCAAAACATTCATGTCAAACTGCACTGATAATAATTACTGATGCTTGGTTTACAGCTTTTGACTAAAAAAGAAATAGTTGGTTCCATTTTCCTTGATCTCTCTAAAGCTTTTGACTATGTGGATCACTCTATTATTATTGAAAAGCTTAGAATGTATAACCTAGACCCTTCATCAGTTGCTTGGTTTTCCTCCTATTTAGATTGCACGACCCAACAAACTTACATATCCGGTTTATATTCAGAGTCAAGTTCAGTAACTACTGGAGTTCCTCAGGGCTCAGTGCTAGGTCCTATACTGTTTTTAATATATATCAATGACCTGCCTTTGTCTATGGAAAAAAACAGAAACTGATATTTTTGCTGATGACACCACCCTTTCAACCTCTGATGTATCCCTAAACAGAGTAGTTGAATCTCTTACTCATGATCTTTTAAATGCCAACAAATGGTGTGATTTGAATCGCATGTCTATCAATGTTAACAAAACTAAGGTCATGTATATTTCCTCAAAACACAAGCAAAATTATATTCATGAAAGTAATCCTTGTATTTTATATAAAACAGAGCAAATTTTCTGTAGCTCTGAAGAAAAATTATTGGGTATTACAATTAATAACACCTTGTCTTGGCAAAGCCATATTGATACTGTTCTTAAAAAGTGTAACTCATTGTTACATTTATTATCACGTATAAAATTATTCATATCTATACCTGTACGTAAAATGTTTTACAATGCATATATTTTACCACATCTTGATTATTGTTGCATAATTTATGGTAACTGTACGTCTTTTCTAGAAGATAAACTCATTAAGTTCCAAAAGAGAGCTGCAAGACTAATTCTAGACAAAGATTATGACACTCCATCTGCTGAACTTTTTTCTGAACTCCGCTGGATGACCTTTTCACAGAGGGTTGTTTTTCAAAAAAGCTATTTTGATGTTTAAAATAATAAATAATCAGGCGCCTTCCTATTTATTGAATAATTTCATTTTATCGTCAGATGTTCATACTCGCATTTTGCGTTCATCATCTGATTTTCAACTTTATACCCTAGACCAAAATACTGAACAATTTCGTAAGTCTTTTGTTTATTCTGGATCTTGTATTTGGAACGGCCTTCCTGATTATATTAAGTCTGCTACATCTGTTAACCATTTTAAAACCTTAAACTTGAGGTTTTATCACGCATTGATGTATACAAATTGATAATCTCTTGTATGTTTTTACATTTATGTATTTTAATAGTTTGAAAATGTTAAATTTATATTGTTCCTTGTTGAGGGCCTCATGGAAGATTGATATGTTTGTTCAAATGAGTTCTCTCGTTAAATAAAGTCTTTATTATTATTATTATTATTATTATTATTATTACAACAGCTTGTACATTATGCACAAAAGTGTATAACATTTATTGGCAGATATAAAATCATCTCGAGATAATAGAAACAGATAATACCTATGATGCTGTTAAATTTACGATGATTTTACATCGATGAGAGATGCATATTGCATAACACGTATATCTAATGTGAACAAGTATGCCTATAATGAGACCTGCAAAAGCAACTGCATCATTTTAGAAAGAAAAGAAAGATACATTAACATTAATACCAACACTATTTCCTGAAGAATTTCAGAGACATAACAGTTTATGTGCTAAGTGTATTGGAATCAAAGTCTTTGATCAACAGTAATATATGTACTGTTAGTTATAGACACAATTCAAAAATTCGATTCCCCTTAAAAACCCTACATCAGCAGCAGCAACAATAACAAGAATAGGACCAACTTACCATGTCCGGATCATTATAGTTGCCAGGTCCGGCAACAAGACTGAAGTTTCCAGTATCGTTACCATAGAATTCTATAATCCCTCTAACACTGTCCCAGGAATCTTGTATGTCTGCATAGTTTCTCCAGATGTTACAGTAACTAGCAATCTTCTTATAGTCAGGCTGACAAATAAAAGTGACATACATTAAACATTTCTTAAAAATTATTTTTTCCCCTTTTATTAAAGGTCAACTATGATTTAATTTAAAGTAATGAATATCAACGTATGGATCTGAAATGCATGATAGTCAGTTTGAATTACACTAAATGTATACATTTTTAATATAAGATGATACATTGAAAGGATTGCAATTGATATTCCATACAGTTGAAAACAACATTCTTATATCTGTTAAGTGGGTAGACATTATCAGGATATTATCAGGAATAATGATATAGATAATTTCACAACGTTGAAGAAAGAATCATAGAAAGATTACAATTTGTTTGGAGAAGACAACATAGGCTGGCCAACTACAGGAGTACAACATTGGACGTCCAGTCTGATTTAAGAATAATGACATCGCTGGATAACCTATGATAAGATAAAGAACAAAGTATATTTTTATTACATGTATGTTGTTGTTATTTCAGAAAGAGATCGGAGGTTTCAAAATTATACTTTAAGTCAAAATAATTATCTACATACATGCATTTCTATTCATTTATTTAAATGAAAGTGATGACTATAAAATGTTCAACATCATCAACTTTATTGGTGTATTTGTTTGAACATTTGTCCTAATCAACATGGCCTTTTACAAATTAGGTTGAAATGTATGCCAGAAATTATGATTCGTTCAACGTTCAATATTGATTCACCAGCCCTGCAATGCAATAAAAATAATTCTGTAAATAAGCGATTGACTATGGAAAACAAATGTTTTAATTATATTCAAACCATATTCCATGTCTTGAATGTTTGAGTTGCAACCATCCAGTTTCACCATATCTATTCCCCAAGAAGCAAATGTTTCGGCGTCTTTTTGAAGAAAGAATTCGCTGCCAGGATACCCTCCACATGTGAATGTTCCAAAGTCTTCATAGATACCGAGTTTCAATCCTTTAGCATGCATCTGTAAATGAAATATAATTAAAGATGTAAAATTTTGCGTAAGTCTAAGATATGTATTGATATGTGTGAATTCTGAAATATCTAGTTTATTAACTGAAAATATAATTTGCCCCAAACTGTATGTCAAAATCATAAATGCTAAAATGGAAACATTTTTTTTTACTGTACCTTAACTTGATGTCACAATAGACCACTCAAATATTTTTCTTTGTCGCTGTTAATAACCAAATACATAATTATGGCTTATTCCCTAAAGTAGAAACATGTTTGCTTAGTTTGAGTCTGTCAAAATCAGATCATGTTGTACTAATATCCTTGCTAGCCTGATTTCGTGAATGTCACGATGCAAACACGGCATGTCAAAATGTAGACAAGACGACTTATTTCCCTTGCTTACTGGAAAAAGGAAAATGCACTGAAGCCAATGTCAAACATAGTGGAAATCGCTTTCTATCCACCACAGGTGTGCCTAAGAAAAGACGCTAAATATCAAATATCAATTTGTGCCATTAGAAGAATTTATTTGTCTAATTATATAAAATGAAGACAGAAAAGACATCGTGGAAATGATACATACATAATCAGCAAGCCATTTCATGCCATGTGGGAAACGTTTTCTATCTGCTACAAGTGTACCATTGGCGTCCCGTTCTTTCTCCATCCAGCAATCATCCACGTTCACATACTCGTAACCTTTATCCTTATAACCTTCCGATACCATTGCGTCAGCCATTGCTGTGTACAAGTTCTCGCTGACAATTGACAATAACAATTTACAATTAAATGAAAAAGAACATGGGGACTCCATTGTCAGGAAGGAATACGAAGCACGTTTCAAATCTTCTTACTTTACTTACTAATCAGTACTGTTGTCATAATTATAACGAATCTTGCGCGTGACCCTTGTCTTGTTTAAGCAGATGCAAGGTACTTAAATACTCGAGAACAGCTTCCCTTATAGGTGATTAAAATGAACGTAAGACACTTAAAGACGGTATATTTTAAATACTGTAATTTTTATATGGCTCAATTTGGTATAATGTTACCTACAATGAATTGTCAAATATTGTAACGAATAGGCAAGATGCAAAACAATGGAAATGGCACATGTACAATAATGTTTTCTAAGTGTTTATACCTGATACAGTTATCTGGGTCATTGTCACAGTCAATGTTACATCTATACCGTTCCCATGACAACCAGCCCATAGGTGGCGTCACAGCTAAACCATTGTCTAGTCCCTGGCTTATACTGCACAGTGTTACAGACAATATTAGTCTAAAAATCATTGTGACGTTTTCATCTAGAAGTAAACAACTTAAAATTTAATTATCACATCAAATATGGATTTGAGAAAAAAGGAAGCTCTGTTGCTAGAAACTTTTGCATACACAATTGAGCGGTCTCACGTGTTTTCATTGAATATATGTTCGTAAACTGAAGCTTGACGATTTATATATACATTTCTGTGCTTTTAATAATGTATTTATAGAATCGAGTTACGAGAGGATCATAACATTCATAAGAAGAATACGATGCAGATGACAAAAAGAAAAGATGAGGAGAAGAAGCAGAAGGGTAAGATGACGACGACGATGATGCTGATGGTGTTGATGATGATGATGATGAACAACAGATAGAGAAGCTGAAGAATATGATGATGAATGAAGAATGAGGAAGAAATAATAAGAAGAAGAACGAAAAGAAAGAAGGAGAACAAGAAAAGGAAGAAGAGAAGTAGAGAAAACACAAGAAGGTGCTTTGTCGGTTTTTGGGATAGCGCAACAAATCGTCAATTGTCATAATTATTACAAATAAGGGGTTAAAAATGATATTTTCACAATCTAGTTTTTATACTGCTTACCTGACCCCAATGAAAGGGGTATTAAGACATGTTCAAGATGTGAGTTTTAATTGATTATTAAAGTTTTTCTATTGACGTTCGATCTATTTAAAACTGAACTTTGACTTATGATTTATATAAAAAGGTCTGCTTATATAACATCATGTAACTTGTACCTTTGTAAAAAAGATTACCTGTGGTTGAAGCTGGTGACCTACAGTGATACCATTAAACATTTATTAACTATTTGAGCTAAAAATTTATCAAGGGAATGTTCATATCATTATAAACGGGTGTGTAGGCAGTTAGTTTACAATATTGTCACTTATTTTGATGTTTGTTTGGCTACAGATGAGCAATATTCAGTTTAATTACAAATCTATAAAAAGCATTACAAAATATTGAAATGATGACTACAAAGAAAACACCTTGTTTATATGATAACAACATTTACTGAAGGAATTTTATCTTGACATCTAATTTTAATGTCGAACTTGACCATTATTTAAAGGGTTAACAGGAGAGTCATGTCAGTTTAGTGAAAAGAGGTTTGATTTTAACAGATAAACATGTAAATGGTAACAGATAACAAAAATACCTAAGATGGTCGTTTGTTGATCACAAAAGCTAACTTTATAACACTTTTGTAACTGACAAAATGATCTGTAGCTAGTAAGGTACATGCAAGAAAATCATAGAAACCTTGGAATATGCGTTTATAAGCGTTTGTACATGTATACGCACGTATATCCTACATTTAAGTTTAAACATTTAAAGATAAAAATAATTCACTTACTTGTTTCAGGTCTCGTGTTATCATATGACATGTAGTCCTATATGTATGTATGTATAATCAATATTTTGATAAATATAAAGACGTTGGTCGTTTTAATAAATTTAAAGTTACACAAGCTAACTGTTTCCTTCAGATAATATAGATGATAAAGATAATTGGGAAGTAAAGTATACTTCGATACAGTCGTGTAACAGGAATGAAATATACAAAATATGCTCACTTCGATTTGAGATATTTGCTACGAGGTATGGTATTATATAACGCTGGGTTATAGCGAACATATGTAAATTTTCACTTCAAGAAAAAAAATGATATACAGTGAGTGATACAGTAAATAAGTTTTAAAAAATCAATATGATATCAACCAAGCACTTTTCTCATTCAAAATAATGCATAAATGCAATATCTAAATTATTTTAGAATATTTCAAATTGCTTCTTCTATTTACTACAAACGTAAGGGAGAACACTCAAAATTTACAAAACCAGTGGTCATTATACATTACTTCCCTTGCATAATATGCACATATATGTTATGTTTGTAGAAATGGTGGCAATTTACACTTTTGCTTAACTGCGCGGAGTATAATCATACCGCATCTGGCCATTAGCTAACGTGGTGTCTTTGACTTTAGTAGGGCTTATTCGCATATCCTTTTTAAAATGCGACATTTTCAGTGATATTATGAACCTCTTATTAATGTTGTTAAATCAACATGATTGCATACCAAAGCTGTGTGCATAATTTTATACTGATGAGGTAACAAAAGGGAAAGATCCAACATCGAAAGTATAAATTAAAATTCAACAATTTCCTTCCCTTAGAGGTAACATCGACTAGAAATTGATTAATCTATGGTTTAAAATATGTCGCAGAAAAAATATATATACTTATAGCTGTATATATCAATAAATAGTTTGATTTGATTTGACACGAAATTCAAAAAGCACATGCAACTTTGTTAAACTGTACTGTATAGACATTTCCTGTGCAAACTTTAATCTAGAAATAATCCATATTACTTGGTCATGAAGTACGATTTCAAGTATCCTTGAATTGTTCTTATTCATGAGGTTAAAGAAAACTATAATAAACTATGATCTATTAGTTAAAACTTATAAATTTAATTTCAAATGTTCTGCTGTTATATTGAACAAGGCGTTTGATTAACTCTTAAAAAATTCTGCGTTTGAATTTCATTTGTCAAGGGAGAAGGGTAATATTTTTAAAGACATTCAGAAAAATTCCCTAGAGTATTTAAAGATTTCAAATATATCGTAACTTTAGCCGGTAACATGCATATTTTGACATGCAAAAGGGTACTTCCTTAAGAAAGCAAGGATATATAGGTTTCATCACCTAAAATCATTCTGAAAAATTATAATATCTAAATGATTTTAACAAGAATATTTACTGTCCGAACGATGAAATGTAATTTTCTATGGAAAATGTCAACGTATGTTTAAAAATGGTCTATGTTTCCAGACACTAAATTAAGCTTTGTTCTGCTGATGGAATCTTGCATTTTGATGGACGCGGAAAGTAACATTGTGGATGCTGTCCTACAAATGAAACAGGACGTGTTTGATGAAAGAATTTTAATCACTACCTGTATACAAAATATGAAAATTTTATTTCCGAGGACATTTTGGTGTTATCTTCTTTTTCTCTTTCAAATATATATTTTTTAACTTCTAAAAACACAATTATTTGTAAACTCATATACTGAAAAAAAAACCAAAAAACAAAACAAAACA